AGCTGCACACATCTGAATATTTGGGTTGAAGTGTTCTGGAACAGTGTTGTAAATACAACTTAACCACTGATTTCTAGTTGTGTCCTCTTTTGGAAGAACCGCTGCTTTAGAACATTGATTTTGAAACTTGTGAATCCATTAGAATCGTTAGAAGACAGAATCGCGATTCATATATGAATAGATTTTTACGTGCACCTCTAGTTTTCTCTTCCTCTTCTCTAAAGCAGCGCAGCATGCCCTCGCCCCCTTTGCTGCCTTTTCCCGGGGGCAGGGTTTATCTGGGTTTGTGAAGTCACGAACCCGGGAAGTAACTTGTTGTAGTCCCTACCAGCCGTTTTTGTAGGCATTAAACTGAGAATTTTAAAAGACGATATCTCCATTTGCATTGAACTTTCAGCTTCGTAACTTTGCAGATATTGTTTATGCTCAAACAGCAACATTACACACTAACTAACGTTAAAACTGTGAAATCGCAATCAACCACCCCTTTAAGTCGGGGGAAGTCGTGGCCTAATGGTTAGAGAGTCGGACTCGTAATCCAAAGGTTGTGGGTTCGAGTCTCGTACTGGCAGAGATTGTAGGTGGGGGGAGTGAATGTACAGCGCTATCTTCCATCTTCAATACCACGACTGAGGTGTGTGTGTGTGTGTGTGTGTGTGTGTGTGTGTGTGTGTGTGTGTGTGTGTGTGCGCGCACACACACACCCACACACACACACACACACACACACACTTTGGATGGGTTAAATGCAGAGCACTAATTCCAAGTATGGGTCACCATACTTGGCCACATGTCACGTCACTTAAACGTGAAATTTTGAAGTAGAAAGCTTGTAAAAAATACTCCAATCATCTTTATTTACAACTTTGGAAAAACTCATTTTTACAGCGTATACGCTTGTTAAGAGTAGTGTTTTTAGCTTAGCAACATAAACATTTTGAGAGTTAAATCTCATGTGTTTTAAAGGTGCCGTATGCAAGTTTTTGACTCTACTAAAGCATAAAAATACCATAATATGCTTGCAGATATTTAAGAAACATGCTAAGTTAACATACTTGTTTATCTGAAAAACAATGCTACAGTCAGTTATTCTCCTTTGAAAATGTAGGAGAATGGTCTCCTAAATGTCCATTCTCGGTCTTTGTTTTGGTTTGTGAAACCCGCCCACTGCCAGTTTACCCAATTGCATTTCGGCACCCCGGGTTGCCAGTTGGTGGAAAATACAGCGTATTTAATTTCATTCATCTTCAAATACGCTTGTTCCTGTTGGTGTCGTCAATCTGGCAACCTGCGTGTGCGTCAAGTCTGAGGAGGAGGGGCCGGGTGAAAAAAACCCTCCAATATTTTGAATTTGGACTGCAATACCTAGTTCAACCACTCGGTGTAAATCCTACATACAGCACCTTTAAATGAGGAGAGTAATTTGTGTGCTGGACTGAGTTGTCTATATAGAGCATTACAAATCAGTTCCTCATTTTGGGATATTTAGGATGCTTCCTCAGAATATGGACAGCAAGGCAACCGACTAGGTTTTGAAACTAAGTGAATAAGAGCCCCAAATGCATGCTGGGAAGAGAGCTGGCGTGCTCAGAAAGCTCATTACAGATTTTGAGGAGCTCAGGGGCCTAATTAACACCAGCTCATTTCCTACCTGTGCCCAAAAACACTCGGCTGTCGTTTTTCATTATTAATTCTCTGTCAGCAGTTGACCGTCAGTCAGGCCAGTATCACAGATCTCCAGGCTTCATCAATTATCCGGGTCATAGGCATGAATATTAATCCTCACCTCTGTCATTTGGGTACCTGGCGTCGATAACCTTCAGACAGGGCAGCTTTCTCTGGAGGATCTGCAAAGCTCTCGTCGCAAATGACCTTTAACCCTCGGCTTCGTTCCTGTACTCTTTAGCGGATCCCCGAGCGAACCACTGCAAAACCTTGCGAGATGGATGGCTCACGTGGCCTATCCAGCTGGGCCGATTTCACTCAAAACCTCAGTGAGCGATGCTTTCATGGAACACAGAATGGTTTTGAATCAGTTCATGCACTCCCTGGGAAACGAACCCATGACCTTAAGAGTTGCTAGCATCATGCTTTTTGGATTTTTAAGTTATTTTTTTTTAACATTATGTCACCTAGAAGCCCAGTTTTAAGGCAACATCACTTGATTATTTTGCATAAGCAATCCCAAAATGCACTGCGACAAACATTTACAACAATCCTAATCCTAAATATTTTTCATTTTTTTCAGTAAAAAACAAACTTCAAACAAGAAAAAAAGTTACAAGAAAAAGCTATTTATTGCATACAATTTTATGACATTCAGAATTGAATAAAAGTGAAAAAGTCCATTCAAAAAGTCATGTTGTCTCTCACATCAAAATCCACTGATATATTTGTTCATTATTGTTTTGGCTTGTAAACAGTGTTTGATCTGTGCATATTTTCAGCTAATTTGGGTGAAAAAATATCCTATCCAGCTCACAATAAATGCTCGATCTCGAGTAGTCACAGAAACTATGAAATAATTTCAGACTTGCTTGATAACTGATCAACCAGTTATTGGCCAGATTTACTCTAAGAGGTTTTCATTGATGCAGTGGAAGAACCATTTTTGGTTCCTCAAAGAACCTTTAGTGAAATGTTCTTAAAAGAACCATTTTTTCTCAGTGTGAAAAACATTTTAATAATCTAAAGAACCCTTTTCCACTATAAACAACCATTTGTGGAATGGAAAGATTCCATGGATGTTAAATGTTCTTCATGGAACCATCAACACCAATAAAGAACCTTATTGTTTAAAATGCAAGTACAATAGGTGAGCTCTTGTAGTGTACGCTTGGCCTAGCACACAGATGTTTAGGGTCTATTTATTCATTTTGAGATTCAATTGATGACATCAAGCAATCTGAAAGAAGTACACAATTTAATTCTGGCTGATCTTTCACAAAGCTTTTTATTTGTGTGTGCACGTTTGATGACCTAAAAATCATTCCAAATAAGGAGCTAAAACATAGTGTTTGATTGTAAAATATACACGTGGACAGCAACTAACACATTACATAATATCCTGTCTAACAAACCAGTTTTGAAAAAGTTCAAGACTTTCTTCAGAAGTAGACGTCCACGCATAGCACTCTCTGTTCCAATCGAACAGCACTGCGTTCAGGTGCCAACTAGACCTTGTTTAAACTTGGCCGGAGAGCTAAATCACTTTCTGGTCAAGTCTCTTTCTCATAGCAAAAGCTGCTGGATCATCTGCCAGCAATGTTCAATGAAGCCAGCAGCCTTCTGTCCTCACACATACAGCACTGCACGGCGTTTAGAAAAGTAGACAAAAGATCTGTTCCAAAACCACGAGCTGCCTTGCTGTCAACCTTCAAGACACAAATTATTAAAAACAATTATTGGAAATATTGTTTAGTATACATACTCTACTGTTCAAACGCTTGGAGTCAGTGGGTTTTTTTTTTATGAAGAAATGAATACATTTATTCAGCAATGGTGCATTCATTTGATCAAAAGTGACAGTAAAGACATTTATAATGTTACAGAAGGTTTCAGTTTTAAATAAATGCTGTTCTTTTCATCAAAGAATCATTTCCAAAAACATAACGCAGCACAACTGTTTTCAACATTGATAATAATCAGAAATGTTTGTTGAGCAGCAAATCAGCATATTAGAATGATTTCTGAAGATCATGTGACACTGAAGACTGGAGGAATGATGCTGAAAATTCAGCTGCGCATCACAGAAATAAATTACATTTTAACATATATTCACATAGAAAACAGCTATTTTAAATTACAATATTTCACAATTTTAATCGTATTTTTAGATCAAACAAATGCAGCCTTAATGAGCAGAAGAGACATCTTTCTAAACCATAAAAACAATCTTATCGAATCATATATATGTTTTGAAATTTAGTTGATTAATTGCACTCCATCATTGCTTAATCACTCTTAATTTAATGCATTTGGACTTATTTTATGTTAATTATTTTCAGTAAAATTAAGTAAACTAGACATAATTTATATTTACTGTATTAAACTTGTGATTTAGTTTTCCGTGGCCAGTCGAATTAAGCCAACTTCCTTCAAAACATATTATATTCATTTGTCTAAAAAGAACAAAACAAACCTGACAAATAGCACTTTGGTTTGAAATAAATTCCCATTAACAAAGCCGGTCTGGCTAATTTCGACTCAAATACACCTAACTTCCAAAATACAAGAGAGTTCAAGTGCCACTCGAAAAAAACTGCTCAGAGAATGTCTGAATCGCATTAAAAACACATTAAAGTTGCCGGGATGAAGACTTACTTCACACAACAGCGTGGACGTCTGGAAGTCTGTAAAGGTGCTGATGGCGATTCTGAGAAGGGAAACAGAAACAGGGTTATTTTACTATTATTACTATACTATATAAATAATACGTATTATTTATACATTTTGAATTATGTCGTTTTTAATTTTATACTTTCCACTTTCATTTAAATTTTTGTTAAAAGTTTTCGTAATTTTGTTGTGTTTATGTAGATTTTTTTTTTAGTTTGTTTTTTAATACGGCTACTTAGTTTTTAGCTTCTTTTTAGTTTTCAACTTATACTTAAACTTAAGTAATATTATGTTTTATTCATTTCTATTAGTTTTTGTTTTTTTAAATGTTTATTTAATTTTTTATATTTTTGTCTATTTTATGTTGTTTTTTTAGGAATTAAACTAAATGGAAATTTTTAAAAGTTTTCAGAATTGTATTGTGTCTTGGTCATTTTTCTTAGGTTTCTTCTTTTTAAATGTCGATTTAATTTTTAGAAATTTTATTTCAGTTTTAGTCGTTTTAGTATTTGAACAAACTAAATGAAAAATAAGATTTTTATTTTTACATTTTTGTTGTGTTTTAGTCATTTTTATTAGTTTTAGTTTTTTAAATATCTATTTAATGTTTATTGTTTTTATTTCAGTTTTTATTTGAGTCATTTTAGTACTTAATTTTTTTTATTTAAATTGTAAAGTTTTAGGAAATGTTGTGTTTTACTCATTTTTTAATAGTTTTTGTTTTAATGTCTATTTAATTTAATTTGTCATGTTTTAACTTAAACTAAACAAAAATTTGTCATTTAGCATTTTGCTTTTGCACCTAAATGTTTTTTATATTCTATTTTATTTACCATTTCATTTATTTTAAATTAAATTTTTTTTTAAATTATTATTAGTTTTAGTTAATGATAATACTGGTATCTTCACAGTATCCTAACCAGGCACAAGTGTCAAGTAATTTTAGTCTTTACTGAAAAAGAAATGCTGCATGAAGTCACAAAAATCACATCCAATTAAAACAAATTTGATGTCTAAAATCAAGATTCCAAGTAACCAGATAAAATATAAAATATTGTTTTCCTTCAGAATAAAGTGCACAAAAAAACATACACAAAACCAGGAAAATGATGTGCCGCCGGACTGTGGACCAAAGAGATTTCAGAAATAGAAACCAAGCGACTGACAAAAAGGTCAAGTTTAAACGCCTGGTTAGTGAACAACAGCAGGAAAAGACTAACTGGGTGAATCATAGAACAAAAGAAACATTGAGAAGCAGAAAGTGGGACTAGAGCGGTGGATGAGAACGGACTCATGGCCTCTAGTCTCAATCAAAGACACGGATAAAGCCTCATTTCCAGAGTTTTCCCAAGTCCTGCGGAGCCCATGCTGAGGGCTACACGACTTTCTCTCGACAGTTTAGAGGAAAAACATCATTAAAAAATCATAAAATATTCAATTCCATTTCATTACGGTCTCTATGGAAGAATAGTAAACATGGAATGCAAATGCATTTCACTCAAGATAATAAAACTGGCAGAAATACATTCAACATTTAATGAAAAAGTGGCTCTCGTACAAGTAATACCATGGGCAGGCGCTGACGGGCTCAATGTCTTTAAGTCTTCATTGGTTTTTATGCTTTTTTTTTTTTTTTTTAGCTCTCCTGCCTCTGATTCTCAGCTTTCCCCAGTTCTCATTAGTATCTACAGCTAATGTGCCACTGCTGAAAATAGCTGACAGGTAACAGCAGAGCAATTAACTTTTAAACTTTCCCTTTACCAGCGAAGGCCCGGGAGAGCTAGCGGTTTGCGCTGAAGAAACCCAGTCTAATGCGGCGACACAGACCCGGCAGAGCACTGTCAGAGCCGGCCTTAACCTCTCATGAAAGGATCTTTATGCAGAGCTTTTCCATTCAGTGACAGTTCGCCAAAAAACCACATCAGTCAGGTTACTAAAAGCACTAAAAAACTGCACCGTACTCTAGCTCTTCTGATATCAAATATTAGCTTTGTGCAACGTACAAATCAGGGTTATTATTGTTAACTAAAACCATTAAAAAAAGTATTACTTGAAATAAAATAAACAATAGCTAACATTTATATAAACTATTTTTACATTTCAGCTAGTTGCCAATGCAACATTTCTCATTTTTGTTTAACGCTGAACTACTAAAATATTAATAAAAAACTACGTTTTAAACTTTTTAAATTAAAACAAAAATAAATAATAAATAAATATTAACAAAAACTACAATTGTATATCAACATTATCATTAATATCATTGATATAACATTACATTAATAACATTTAATCATTTTAATATTTAATAATTATAATTTATTAATGTTTAATTATCATTAAAATAACACTGAAAGAATTACATAAAGTGAGCACTATGTACAGTAATTACTGAAATCTTGCAAAAACTATCGGTTGGTTTCATCGCACCAGGTTATTTTATTTCAGCAACTTGCCAAAGCAACATTTCTCATTTTCATTTAGCTTGTCAAAAAAAAGAAAAAAAAAAGTCAAAACACAAAATTACTAAACCCTTAAAATTAAAACTGAAAATCTAAAAAAATTTAATAAAATTCAAAATATTAACAAAAACCATAATAGTATATTAAATAACAACTGAATTAAATAATATAATACTATTAGAATAATTTAATAATTACATACAATTTTAATAATATTAAATATATTCAAATAACACTGGTGCAAAGACGTAAAAAGTCAGCACTGTACAATATTTACTGACATTTTTGGTTATTTCAGCTACTTGTCAAGGCAACATTTCTCATTTTCATTTAGTTTAAGCTGAATTGTAAATTCTAAAAATGACAAAAACACAACAAAATTACTAAAACATTCAAATGAAAACAGAAAACAATGGTGCAAAGACGTAAAGTGAGCGCTATATTCACAATTGTTACTGAATAAATATTTGGAAAAATATGTGCCTAGTCGCATTGCACCAGGTTTTGGTGCCAAAAGCAATTGATTCTCGTGAACATATGGACTGGAAAACAACCTTTGTTTTATTGTTTCCTCACATAAAGATATCCATGACTTCAGAAGCCTTGCATATTTTTTTGGTGTTTTTTGTTCTTTTTGGAGCTCGACAGATGTGAAACTATGACCTGTTGTTGTATGGCAAGAACCAGGTGCAGATTTTTCAAAGGTTCGGGTACAAAGTATAGACAGGTTTCGAAGGATGCGAGGAGTAAATAATAATTTTTTTTTTTTTTTGAGTGAACTGTCCCTTTAATAATCTCTACGTGATGGGCTCTGCGGGGAATCTCTCTTCCCGCATCATCAGAGATGAATTGTAGACTTTGGTTTCCTCTAACTGCTCTCGTCAAGGTGGGACATGTCTGACGGTCTTTGATCGCTTTTTCTCCCTCTCTCTGGTCTCTAAAAGAGTTTCTAATTTTACCGTTTCCTCTCTCAGAAGCAGCAGATTGTGTGACCTCTGTCACATCATTCTTCTGTTTTTTCCCTCGCTCTCTTCCTCTTGCTCAATCTGTTCTTGCTGTGGTGAAGAAGATACAGCAGATGATGGATGTGTTTACACTGGAAGAACTTTTCCACGGCTGCACTCCATCACAAACCATCACAACTCCACAGTCTTCAAGGAAATCCTATCCTCATCTTCCTCTGTGAGGGTCTCGTTCACTAATGCACACACATAAACCTGTGTGCAAGTGCTCACATAGATGTGTCAATCAGTTGATTTGCACATACAGTGGGTACGGAAAGTATTCAGATCCCCTTAAATTTCCACTGTATATATTTGTAATTCAGAATAAAATTTAGAACCAACCCAAACCACACATCTAAATATTAAAAATTTGACACAATATTTGGTTCGTAAATACTAACTTAAAAAATTTGGGGTCAGTAGTTTTTTTTTTAATTATTACATTTATTCAGCAAAGATGAATTAAATTGATCAAAAGACAGTAAAGACATTATATATATATATATATATATATATTTTTTTTTTTTATATAAATGCTGTTCTTTTGAACATTCTATTCATCAAAAGAATCCTAAAAATAAATAAATTGATCATGGTTTCCACAGAAATATTCAGCAGCACGACTGTTTTCAACATTGATAATAATCAGAAATGTTTCTGGAGCAGCAGATCAGCATATTAGAATGATTTTTGAAGATCATGTGACACTGAAGACTGGCGTAATGATGCTGAAAATTCAGTTTTACATCACAGGAATAAATTACATTTTAAAATATATTCAAATAGAAAACAGTAATTTTAAATAGTAATATTATTTCATAATATTACTGTTTTTTCTGTATTTTTAATCAAATAAATGCAGCCTTGGTGGGCATAAGAGACTTAAAAAATAATAATAATAAAAATCTACCGACCCCAAAATTTTGAATAGCAATGTAATTTTTTATTGGAAATAATAAAATTATGGCCTCTGCAGATGTCTGAACTGAGCGCTGAATATCCACTGACCCTAAAATTGCCCCTGCTCTCCTGCAGGTGTAACATGCCTGTAAACCTGATCACCATTAGAGCCTTGGGAGCCTGTTATTGGCTTTTAGAGCATATACTTAAACCCCTCTCTCTCTCTCTCGCGCTGTCATAGCGTTATGGGTTAACACAGTTCAGTGGGACGCTCTAATTCAATGCGTCCTTCCATCTAACACACATGACGGCCCTATTATTAGACACTTGCTGCTGAGATGGTATGCCCAATTACCCACGAGTCTGTACTTGGCTTGTTTGAGAGTGTGTGCGCGTGTGTGTCCTGCAGGCCTTTGTGAATCAGCTCTGATGTCCTGTTGTCCTGATGACCTGTAAGTGCTGGCTCTTTGTCACGTCAACAGGAGCTGCTCATTGAAGCGTGCTGTGATGCACCAAAGGCCTAGACTTACCGGACACACATAGAAATTACAGGTGGAGATCTATAGGTCTACCATTAAATTCCAGGGATCCAATAGTCTCTAATAGGGATGGGCATTTTGGGAAATTTCTCATTTCGATCATCGATAGGTTTCAAAAACGATTAATCGAGT